CCGAGCGATCGCATTACAGCAAGAAATATTCCAAAAACGCATAATCGTACGGACCCACTGATGCGCTTCGCCAGTAATTTAGTCACAGACCACAGTAGCGGATGGATGCTAAGCTCATTAACAATGCCTGGATTAGTATAATAAAATCAAATTTCAGTTCCTGTGCTCAGCATACTGGGCGTTAGAATTATTCAGATAGATATACATTCATACTCACAAACACACTTGATTTCACTATAATACTTTCCGTGGGTTCTTGCATATATGCAAATGCAAAAAAGTATTCTGCGCAGTGTGTGTGTGTGTGTGTGTGTGTGTATGTGTGCATATCTGTGTGTATAAGTACGCGTGTGAGTGTACATGTGCATGTACGTTTGTACGTGTTTGTTCGAATATTTCAACTCGGCAACCAAGCAAGCTTTGATGTTGAATTTCTGCCATCCTCTAACCAGTTGTGATCCCAAGGAAATGGTGTCAACTTTTGTGTACGACTAAGTAATGTATACGGATATGTGGAAATTTTGGAGGAAAAACCTTAATTTAGGAATTAGGAAAGCTGGGGTGCTTTTCAGCCGCGTGTGGCCTTTGTTCAAACGAACAGAAGTGCTGTGTTGAATCAATTGTATATTTCCAACATAACACAGTATATTGCAAAATGCCGCTTGCCGCCATTACACACTTATGAACTCTTCTTCCAGAGAGCCTTTTGGCATTAGCTTTCAAAGTATTTTCCACTGTGTAACAGTAACACAAAACGCCCCTCCTCCCCTCGCCTACCCCCACCCGCATGCATCAAATAAAAAATGATCCGAGACGCTCTACAAAAAAAATCCATCAAAGTTCCAGCGAGCGACGCCTTGAAATAGTGTTGGCAGAGATGATCTGGCAAAGCGCTGGAAGGCTCAACCGCCATAGATCATCAGCTGAGCCGAGCCGAATTTTTGTACGAAAAAAAAAAACCATCTTATTTGTCACAACGGAGAGCTGAAATGTTAAGGTTTTGGTCTTAGATTTTAATGTACTTTCTACTGTTTAACAGTAGCACAAAACGCATAGACTCCAGTCTCTGTCTGTGTGTGCATTTGCGTAAATGTGTGTATGTTTGTAGCCGAGTGCATTTTGCATTGCAATTTCAAAGAGGAAATCACAAAAGCTAGAGAGTTGAAATTCGGCAGTTACAAAAACACGGCTCGGCTTGGGTGATGATCTATGGTGTTTGGGCCTTCCAGCGCTTTGCTCCATCATATCTGCCGACACTATTTCGCGGCGCCGCTTGCTGGAACTTTGCCATACGTGCTGGGTAGCGCTGCTCAGTGTCTGGCAGCTAGATCGCGTGGGCGGTGTGGGGAAGCGGAAAGGAGGATGTGATGAGTGGGTAGATCGGACGTGGTTGGGGAATATTAGTTGGTACTTGCCTAGATACAGCTCAGAGGGCACGACTGGGGCCAGGATAATGCGGAGGAATGAAGTTGCTGGTTAGGAGTTCAGGCCGATAAACAGTGCCAGTGGTTGGAGGTGGAAGGTCCGGCTTCATTGCTAGCAATATCGCTAAGTTTCTCTTGCCGCGTCAAATGCGAAAAAAATCAGTTATTGGATAAGAGCCACACAGTCTTGAATCGTCAACATGCTTCGTGTCTAGCTGCTTGACTTTCACCGCATTACGGCTCGATGGTCAGACTGAAGTGGCCAACTCTATTATGTCGCCGTCTTCTCGGCATACTTAGAAAGATCAAGGTTGTAAATGGCACTTCCGGCGTTTCCACTAATTATTAAAATTCGGCTGTGTTCTCCGCGATGGGCAGAC